TGCTGCCCTGCGTATACTGATTTGTTCTACCCATTAGATTTTATTTGTTTAACCTTCAGGCTTCTTCCATTAAATTTGGAGGCTGCGTCTAGATGCCTTAAATCGGGTTGTGTGTGATGTGCGTGTCCGATATTACGGAACGGTAGACTGCAAGGTTGCAAAATTTCAAATAAGACAATTGGAAAACATAGTATAATTATCCGCAGTCATTAAAACTGAAAATTACTGTTTTATACCTTCCCATAAATTGAATATGTTCAGACAACTTTGATTTGATTATCATTGGCTATGTCAGAATAAAGTTAAATCTTACAAATAAGAGTGAATTCTGATATAAAACTTTATATTGTGTGCAACAGTGCTTACAGAATTAAAATGAAAAATATCTTTAACTGCTCTGTTATAAAATGAAGAGTTATGATCTTCTTGCAGGCAGTCCACCGCATTCGCAAAGCAGCAGAGCTCAACAGAGTGTGTACAGGTGACCTGATTGTAAAACATAGCACATCAGCTGTTGATGCCACATCTTGCTTCCACCAGATCAAGGAATTCTGGAGGCAGTTGTTATGGCCTGACCTTGTTGGATCCTACAATTTTGTGCTCAAGATCATTGACGTAAGAAAGAAGCATTAATTAATAAGTATAATATTCCTAAAATGTCATGAAGTGAAATATCCAAGAGGAAATTACAATGGGAATCCACAGAGCTGGGACATTCTGCTATATCTTTAGAGACATAATTTGGAATTAAGGCATTTCAGAATAGCTTAAAATTACTCACATGTTCAGTAAAATATTTACTTCTGTTTCACAGGTGGATAAGATAATTTGATGTGGGCCACGACCATGTGACCATGTTCTCTCTTTCAGTGCATCACCAGTGCTGCTGTGTACTATGCAGATCTGACTCACCAGAAGCTTCAAGACACTGGTTACTATGAGGACACAGCAACATTCAAAATCAGTGATGAGGTCTGTGTTCCAGGCTTCCCACATCTTTTTTTTTTTACATCTATGTTCTTTGGTTTTTGTCTCTGCATCAAACAGAACCTTCAAAATATGAAGGAGGGGTGCTAATGTGCTAACCACTTGTCAATGACATTTGGTTGTTGAGGTCACAATGAGGGGAATATTACCTCAATTCTCCCATGTCTTCATGATATGGTGCTCAGTAAGCACAACAGACAACTTTAGCTTCATGTAAGATCTGAGGTTTGCATGGCGACTAAAAAATAAAATCAAGGCTATCAGTCATGTCAGCTGGTTAAAATCTATGTTTCAGGAACTTTGTCTCTATCATCACAATTATGATGTCATGATGTGATAATCATAATGATAGGGATGGAGTAAGTCTGTGAAATGTTGATTTTTAACCAACTGATGTGGCTGATAGCCCTAAAATATTTTATTAACTTCACCTTACCTTACAATGATATTGAATTATACATGTTGAAGATGAATGAGTCACTTCATCCAATGTACAGTTATTTCCTTTCATATGCTCTCTGCTACATTGGATGCAACTATGCATAACATTGTAACATTATGTATGAGAGTGGAGCTCAGAGAAGCTGTAAAGACGCACAGAGAATAAATGTAAGGACACAAAATTAATGTCAGAATGGTGATGAGGGATGACATTATGTGTACAGTATACAGTGGATGCATTGTTGTGATGCTGCAGATGTGCGTCACAGTGAATGATTTGGAGTATGTTCGCCGCTCACTATCAGCTTTGGGAGCTGAGCTTCATGTGGAGATAATTTTGGAGGCAGTGGAAGCAGCCACTGGTGATGCAGGCAAGCAGCAGTGGAGACAGGCCCTATACGCTATGTTAGAAGGTGCCATCAACCAGCTGGAGGCAAGAGCCCTTCAGGTTATCAACAGGGTGGCTGCTAAGGTAAGGGCTGTCACCAAGCAGGTATTTGGTTCAAATATCTTGGCTATCTTGTGAGATTTGAAATTTTCAAAGCAGTGAAGATGTTGATGTTGGTTTTCTGAATTGTAACATTACATGAACTTACAGAAAGATACTGACATTTTTGAGGAACATACTGCCTCCATAACATTGCTATCTATGTACAAGTCCACATTACATTGTAATCTTGAAGACTAACATGAACTCAAATGTTTACCATCCTAGATTCATGATAATCTTCCATTCAATTTTAAAGTTACATAACATTTGCATCAAATAATCCTGGAACCAAACAGTACTGTCTCTCATCAAACATTTTGGAAAGTTATACAGTATTCTTATTATGACTATTAAAGCAAAAACTTCTGTTGACAAGAGACTGTCATGTCTGTTATGTAATTTATGTTTTATTTCTCTTGTATACGCCCTAGTATTCTTATTTAATAGCATAGTGCCATGTGTAAACTACTTCACTACTATTTATAAACATTCATTATGTATAACCTTTGTAGAAAATTTTTTGTCATTGTGTAATCTAAGGGTTAATTATTTTAACTATGATGTGCCCTAGCAACTAAAGATATTGGTGAATATTATTTACACAACTTTTAAAAGTAATAAGGCACTTTATTAAAAACGTGTTACATATTGTATCTTCTGATTTGTTAATGTTCTCAGATGCGACCTGCACTTAAGAAATCTATGTTCCATCTGGCATGGTCACCTGATTCTCTGCCAACACCTGATGCTATCTCTCCACTATTAGAATACCTTGATGCACATTTGGTCAATTTGAATGCTGCCCTCTTGCCTCGCAATTTTGAACGTGTCCTTGCTGATGTATGGGATGTCTCGTTGCTTGAATTGGGACAGCAGATGGATGGTAATGCTGGGGTAAGGCACCAGTTTGTCTGAATTGTAACTGCGTAAGACCGTATATACCTTATTGGACCAACTTTGCTGTTATGGTTAAAAGAGGAAGCTGACCCGGTTGGTTATTGAAATTTGTCAAGAATCATACATGTTCAATGTTTCTGAGACAAGAGATTAATGACTGAAATTTCCAGAGAGCCATGTTTAGAAATTTAAAGTTACAGGTTTCTTATAAGTTGTACTTTTTAGAAATGAAGCTACTTAGTTAATCAGTACAAATGAATACTTGTGCTATAGAGCAAATTTAAAATTTCTGTTGAAGAAAATTTGCTCTGAATAGTCAACAGACAGACTGTAGTAATCAAATGTGTTGTTACATTTTTAGAAACAAATTCTGAAGTGTTAGTATTTAAATAGAAGGTGTCACCTGGTATTAGAAAGATCATAAATAAATAAGTAAAACATACTAAATATAGAAACACTCGGTAACAAGACTGTTTATCTCTAACAGGAAAAGCTGTCCATGTTCTATGAACGCTTGTATGAGGCCCTGGAGATTCTGGTGGACTTCTTTCATGCTGATCAGAAGGGCCTGCCTTTGGAGTCACTCAAGTCAGGTGAGACAAACATTTTAGAAAGTTTATCATATCTGCATGTTATAATTTTTATTATATACTACAATAGTTTTCTGTTTGTCATCAGTGAGCTGAGAATGTCATGTTATGTAAAATATGCGTTGAGAGTGAGTCATTTATCTAATTTGTCAGGTAATTGTCAACCATTCAATCAACCAGAGACACTCAGGTAATCAGGTATTCAACCAGTCAGCTAGTTGTTTAGTGAGTAAGTTATCTCACTTCAAACTGTTGGCACAAGAAGAAATGTATTTCTTTTCTTCCCAACATTTCTTATGAAATTAAAATCACACTAAAATTAAAATCTCAGTGACCAATGTCTTCTAACAAAGCACATACTGAAACAAAAATGGAATCATTAATCCTGCAGTCCAGTATACTATTGAATGTCAATTGAGTTTCTCACATTGTATACATGATAGAGTTAAAGCTGTGGGTGGTGATTCATGTGCTGTGCTTTACATCTGATTGCAGCAACATACTGGAGTGTGGAACAGAGACTGCAGTACCATAAGACTGACACTGATCATCTTATCTCACTGTACTACCAACAGCGTCTGCAGGATCAGCTCTGTACAGAAGCTACAGAGTATGGGGTTCTTTCAGTGAGAACATACTTCAATCATGACTCTTTGTGTGTTGAGGTTTTGAATGCAAGGGATGTGATTCCTCTAGATCCCAATGGTAAGCAGTTTTAAATAATTGGGAAGGACAGTAACAAAATCAGAATTCATAGTAAATAACAGATGTGTTACTATTTTCTTGGTTTTGGACTTATCCATGTCTGCTTTTTAAAATGTTTAAACAAATTTTAAAAACTTTAAAAATCATCATGTTTTGAAGGATGGATATCTATTTTTATCTTCATGTAAAAAGGCAGACACCCCTATTCTGTTGGATCTGCAGAAAATTAACATGGGGGTATATACACTTGTAAAGAATATGTTTGAAATAATCTGTACTCTTTTGGAGTACATATTTTTGCGTTTATAAAATTTGGCTTGAAATTATTTAGTACTAAAAAGGTTAATTTTTATTGAAGATAACAAATGTGATTACTGTTGTTCTATGCAGGTTTCAGTGACCCATTTGTGATCATTGAGTTGTTACCAAGAAAAGTCTTTTCACACTGTTCAGAACAGCAGACAAATGTGCAGAAGAAGACACTTAATCCAATGTTTGATGAGTGTTTTGAATTGTAAGTATATAAATCATTTAACAAAAAGACCAAATGCACCTGATTACTGTTTCTGTGCCTTGCTGTTCTCAAAAATTTAACTGAATGTTATGTAATGCGTAGCATTCTGTATGTCATAGTTTTGGAATAGCTGATTTGAATTTCACCTGCAGCATCACTAACACTGATTGGTACTTGTAGTTTTCCTCATTTCCTCCACACAAACTGAATAATAGTGAATTAAAGTTATCTACTATCATCCCTCTCATATCCTCCTAAACAGCCATTCATTACCATCTCTTTTATTTTTCATTTTATGTTATATTTTATTATCAGTGCAGTTAGTATCACTAATTGAGCCAACTTAAGATTTATTTCGTGACAAAGGTCACTGGATATAAATTGTTATATACAGTTCATAATTAGTATATATTCTATTGTGTAAGATGCACCAAAATTACATATATATTTTAAAAATTATGGTATTAGGTTTAATATCAGTTTTGTACTTATTTATATTATTGTATATGTGTGAATCACATATTATATGTATTTATACTGTATTAAAACATGCATTAGTGAAGCATAAAAAAATCTGAGAATATCAGTAACAAATATTAATTTTTACTTAATTAATAATTCATGATTGTTTAATTCCTTTGTCTCTCTCACATGTATGCAGTTTTGCCACATTATGGTATATCCTCAGGTTGTGAATGGAGGAGATGGTCTCAAAATATGAAGAGTATCTGGCTGTCCAACTTGGGTATAAGAGAGATTTATAATATACTAATTTTCAATAACTTTATTATTGCAGTACTTTATTTGCAAATGCAGATGAATGATGTCCAACATTTAGGAGGAGTATGCCAGTATGAGATTTCAGACAGAAAGTAACAATATGAAATTCAAGAAAAAAAGAAGTACTGTTTTATACCAGCCCATTTTTAGCACTGATTTGACTTGACCATGATAGCACAGAGAATATGACTTTGTTACCATTTTTTGAGTGTACTGGACAACCATAAAAAAGAAATCAAGGCAACAATGGGGAGAATTTTTAAAGTGCCTTATCATCATCATCATCATCTTTATAGAGAGAGTATGCTGTCTCTGAGAGAACCACGTACTCCGTATCTTCAGTAGAGAGAGTAGGGAGACTGTAAATCATGGTTTCGGAATGAATCAGAAAGAAGTGATTGTAGTTTCCTTTAAGGTACTAATCCAGAAATTTCATAGAGGTGGAGGAAAACCATAAAAACTCTCTGGTCTCAGGGCCATGTAAATCCAGAACCTCCAAAACATGATGCAGAAGTGCTTATAATTAACCATTTTGTTTGGCTTGGAAGCTCCTAGAGCAAGACAGGTTTTTGTGCTCCCAGAACTCATTTTGCTGGTTTGATACAATTTAACAATACTCAGCATTCTTAACATGCAGTGTGACCTGTCATTGCAGCTCAGTGACATCGGAGCAATGCAAGACTGAAGGAGCGATGATCCTGTTCACAGTGATGGATCATGATGTCCTGACATCCAATGACTTTGCGGGTGAGGCATTTCTGTCACTACATAACATTCCGGGTGTTGATGACAACAATACAAGCATAGACAACTTCCATGGCCTGAAAACAGTGGACTTGTGTCTCATGCACCAGAAAAACAGGAGTAAGTTGACGTTATTTGGTTTTAAAATAACTCATTCTCATACTTGTAGATCAGGGATTGAACAAAATTAAGCCCACTGACCAGAAGCAGGTCACAAAATTTCTGTCAGGCCTGTGGCATCAACAATATATTTTTCAAGTTACCTTTGCTTTTCAGGTGTTCATTACAATTCAGTGTGAGCACAAAACACCTTATAGACATCTTCTGTCCATCTGTCTGTCTGATTATTGCATCTTTTAGTCAAACAGATTCTGTTGCCATTTATAATAGCAACATGAACTATTTGATACCATATCTATTGAATATGATGTTATGAATTCAAAACTTTTGTGTACTCTGCAGAGTACACCTTTCCAGTCTTGTTATTTATTTCAGATCATCCAATTCTTCAGACCTTGGAGACTCGTGCTGGTGATAAGCTAGCTCAAGATTTTGTGAAGAAACAGAAATTACGAATTAGCAACTCATAGTGTCGATACTACACACATACGTTGATATCCTTCAGTCATAGCTCTGAGGAATCTTTCTGACTGTGTTTATATGGATGTCAATCAGCACACTATAATTATGTTTGTCCTGAGAGGTTGACCCAATCTTCTCAATCTCTTCAAAACAATATTATTTTCTCAAGCATCAAATTAGAATATGTATAAATGACACTTGTTCAAATGAATCCCATTTTGGGATTGTTCTAGGCAAAGAAATTGAGCTAATTAAAAGTAAGACCATGTACACTGAAGCAGACAGCTCATTCAGTAGATGCCCTCCACAAAGAACTCCTTAGAAGGCTATTAGAACCACTGCACTACTTCTTCCTTGACGCCTTTGCTTGGTTCATTTGGAATTTTACTGCTATCTTGAGAGGGCTATCGTGGTAACAGGTCTGGGCTGTATGGGAATCGCCCAGCACCTTCCAGTGCATGGAGCATAGCTTGTCATGGATGATGCAGACCACATGATGATAACCATTGCTCTGCAACATGATTGGAGCATGCCAGGACATCTATCCTGATCACAATAACAAGGTCTTTGAGGGTTCCATAGTAGAACTATCTCTTGATTGTGACCTTAGGTGCTTGAACTCCAACATCAGTATTCACTGATTTTGAAAAAATAGTTCTGTTTGGATGAATTCTACACCTGGAACTCTGGAATTTAACCACATCACACTATTCATGTTTGCTGTAAGATGCCCATTTCATTGCATAGCTTGTGGCTGACTGCTGGTGTCATGTCCACAGCCACATGACCAGCAGTGCTACAAATGGGTTTCATTTGAACATCCCTCATATAATACTTGTACTAGACACATTTTGTGAGGGTTCATGAAAAACTTGAATTCAAAGTCCAATTACTCACGTAATTTGCCTTCATATTTTTGACAATTTGCAGTTTGATATGTTGGCACCAAGATATCAATGTAGCATATAGAAGGAGACATAACTTATCTCTTTATAAAAACAATATTTTTCATTGCATACTTTGAATACATAATAGTTACTAAATCCTAACATAAGGAAATTTATATGTTATTCTCTGAGGAATTAGTTACAAAAAGAATGCAATCATAGAAGTGGCTTGCACCAAATATTGAAACTAATTTTCTCTACATATTTTGGTATTTAATTAAATCAATAATAATTAAGCTCTTGTGTAGTACCTTAACAGGTTCAGTGCATTACTTGGATGAATCTAAAGATAAATTTGTTCCTGTGCCCATATGTTATATATGGAGCTGTAGATTTTAAGCTCTGCACTTTATTGACCTTGACATTCAATCAAGGTGAATGATCATCTTCATGCTCTGGCTGTTTTAATCCCATGGAAAGAGCCTCCAGTATCCATTAGATAGAGGAAAGGGTGGGCCCCAGAGCTGGTCTGGACATGGCAATAAACCCAAATATCCTGCCTCTCTTGGGTATTGTACCCCAGTCGTCTGGCCTGTAGTTTGTCACCATACTGACTGCGCTACTCTGACCTTGGAACTGTATTTAAATGATCGACTAGGAAAGATTGCCTGGAGAAGGTCAGTAAGTGAGTATGATGGGATATCTGGCTTTCACTGTGTCCACAAGTCATGCTTGTCGTTAATACACAAGGGGTTAAGAAAAATTGTTGGTATGGCCAAAGAAAATATTATCAAGTATCCAAGAGATGAATTCTCTTTCATAATCAATAATCCTTTGCTTTTGCAAGAGAATATTTCAATTGCAAAACGTATGTATTATGTATTTTAAGTGACAAATGGAAACAAAGAAGAATGTAATTAGTTTAATTATCCTAACCAAAACTAGTGTTAGATTATGTGTATCTAAATCTAAGCTGGTTGGTATAAATTGAACAACACAGGTCACTTAAGTTCCCGAGATAAGAAGCTGAGTTTTGAAAATTAAACATGTATTTTGCTTGTCAGTGCTATCTCTTAAAATATGTTCTGGATTATATGCAACATAAAACCAACCTCCAAGCACTGGTATGATTGAGCCATAACATGCCTCAGTTCACTGATGGAAGAAGGAAGATAACAAGGGTACATGAAATAGTGCATAAAATCCAAATCAGTTCTGTTGAACAGACATAGCCACAGACTGGAAAGTCTCATAAGAAAATTCCGTATTTCAGAATTATTATAAAACACTCATTTATTTACATTGACTAAATATTCTTTGTAGATAAAAATATATAAAAATAGCACTATTAACCTTTACTGACCGTCCACGATGGTTTAAGTGCAGACCAGCTGACTGTGTGTCACAGTAGAATCCTGTTAAACTGTTAACTGCAATGTTACTGTGGCCAACAGGTCCATATTATGGGGGTTTAAATCTAAAGTTTCCATAAGATAGATGTTGATGTCCTAAACTCTTATTGTTGTTTTCAAGGTGTGAAGACACACATTAAACTCAAACTTGAATGGATCCCAGTTAACTCTATTCTAGGTATATTAAATGATAATAACATATACATGTTAAAATCATGTTGGATTATATGAAAAGCCTTCTCCATTCCTTTCTCTTCTCATAAAAATTTTTCTTGCTTCAGTTTTCTCATTTACCCTATCCTCTTTTGTCCTTCTCTCTTCACTTGAGCTATCCAATAGTTTTTTTATCTACTGCATCTCTGATACTTTCAAAGAAATCCTGTTTTTTGTCTATACATAACACATATCTATATCACTGTATCCTTAATTTAACTAACTGTTTTGTGTTTATAGTTTCAGATCATTTCTAATATCTTGATTTTTAATTTTATTCCTTCTTGTTTGTTTCTTAGTACTTTGTAAAACTTCCAGTAATGGATTTACTCCAAATTCTGAAATCATGCAAGTAAATGCAGGAATGGCTTTCACATTACTTCGCCTTGCTTTCATGGAACCTTTGTCCTGGCTACAGATACTTGGAATGAAGATTGAGAATATCTTAGATTTTTATAAAACTTTGAGCTTCTGTGGTGACTAAAAGTGATAAAATTCTCTTGGGTGATATGCTATGTCAATTTGTAGCAGAAGTACAACATTTCAGCAACTTTCTCCGTCTCCTTCACTGGATTTCTCTTAACTGATGCAGTTGATCACTGAATGGGATTTATTGTCTTAGATTTCCTGTCTGGTCTCAATGGTAGTCTCTATTTAGGAATCAAAAGGAAAGAATTCATTCTTCGGAACCCTAGTTGAGAGCTGTGTGTGGCTGTCTGTCTCAGATTTAGCTACAAATATCACTATTATAGATACTGACTGATTTTTTTGTAAATTTTGGTACAAACAACATTCCATTTGAGACATCTCTATCTTAATATTTCTTAACTTTTTGTTATTAATATTAATAAGGGAGTAGTGCAAACGTGTGAGGTGAAAACAACACTAGCACCATCATATGTAGGGTCCTGAAATCTTGTACAATGGCAGACCTTTGCTGATTGTAAAGATTTTATAAAGGTATATTTTTGGGAAAACAGAAAACAACTTGGCAATTGCATGAAGCGGTTTGGTATGATGATATTTGATCAGTTATTGTAACTTAATGTATGAAATTCATATCATGACATGTTAAAAAAATATAATACTGTTAGCATAAGTAATACTAAAAACTGTAATGTCTGATTTTTTAAAACCTTAAAATATACTGCAGAAATGGTGATTTCTTATAATACTTTTTATATTCTTAATATTTAATTATTAGTCACTTGATAAAATATTTTCGATTTTGGCTCTCTTTTGGGTCTTTGTCTTTTATCTGTTATTACACAGGTCAGCTGTATATTCTATTTGTATCTATTCTTCTAACATACCGAAACATCTGTAATGTTTTCGTAACTGACTTCTTTAAGCATCTGTTAACTCCAAGTTACTTCTTGACTGTCTTGTTTCTGATGTGTTTATTTTTCATTTTCTTATGATACAACTCAAAAATGTCATTGCATGTATTTTAATCATTTCCTTTATTTTTATTTATTTTAAGAAAAAATATGTGTGTACAGTGTAAGACTGTAATCTTCAGACTTGCGGGGTGAGGAAGTGGGGTGAAGGAGGAAACATAACGTCAACTTTTAACGCTTCGGACTTCCTGCATTCCTTGCAAGTCTCAAGATTACAGTCGCGTACTATAGTAGTAAAATGCAATGATAGAGCTTGTAGGTGGTTTCCCCAAATATAACATAACACATTCACCATAGTTTAACTGTGATGTCTGATAAAATGACTGACTTACTTCTATCACACAATTTCTTAAAGAATGGCACAACTGTGTAATGTTCAGTAAAATAAGAGAACTTTTGGTGTGTGTTTTTATACCTTTGACTTTTTGCTGTTTTGCTTTTCCAGTAACAATTATCATGTTGCTTTGGAAGTTATTCAGTGTTGTAATTATGTAATTTAAATTACCCTGTTATTTCAGGGTATGGTATATGCATATATTATGGGTATTCAGTATCAAACATGTATCAGTTGTTTCTTTCAATTCTTGGATGCTATTTAGACAGCATAACCTTTTTCACTGCAGATGTTAACAAGATTGTTGTAATGTTGTTGTTTATTTGCAAGATAGCTCTTTAAATATAAATTAACACTTCACTGTGCTACAGTCTATGCAGGAATTGACTAAATATTTTTAAAAATCAATTAACAAGAGTGTTTCCTTAGCAACCAAGACAAGCTGGAAGCACTTAAAGTGTAGTTTTTATATAATAGTTACAGCATATAACATGTATATGAACTGTACGCAAAAGAAAAGCAGCATCAAAGTTTAGGCTGTATCAGACCATAGCAGGTCTTACAGAACCTGCATCACTGGATCAATTACTGGCAGCAAAAGGGTTAATAGGAACATTAAACTTACGTTTGCCTCTATCTGAATGTCAAATTCAGGTTTTGAAGGCAATAATTTTGCTAATTCAATATATATACAACATATGTTAATAAAGGAGTTCTGTACTGAAGATAAATAGTTTATGGTTAAAGGAAATACAATAATTTGCCAGGGTAAACATTTATGATTCAACTACAAGGAACTCTAGAAGAATTTTTATCTAAACATAACGGAATTTGATTTTAATAGTACTTGCTGTGCAAAAGAATTCTATGAATTCCTTATCAACTCAGTTTTTGATATGTATTTAGACAAATATTTTACTACATAAATAATTCTTTTTTGACAGAATGTGGCAGAACGTATCTGGAATCTTCCCATACAAGTGAGAGTAAAGTTACAAATCTAAAATTATTGCAGTAGCTAACAGTAATGAAATCATCTCTGGAATTCAGCTGCAACAATATGAAATTATACTCGTCCATTTTAGTGACTGTGACTGACTGACTGTCCATCATTGCGGATATCAATCATGACTGATTCATTGAAAAGATTTAATTGTGAGAGTGAGTTTTCCTGTTTTATTATTTATATTAAGTTATTAGATTTAAGTACTAGCATATCACAATAACCACCTTGCTGCCAGAAAGAATGACAATTTGATTCATGTCAAATGTAAGGAAATATGTTTTACACTATCCATACATATATACTTAAAGCCTTTTACATTGAGAGCAATGTATGAAATCTCATCAGCAGTTGCATATTTGTAGGACCTGTGCCTACATGCTATAGCCTACATTTACCACTGTTAATCTTTTTACAAAATCATAAATAGCCAGTCTTTTGTACAAAGAAATTCTGTAGGAAGAATGTTTATTTTTTCTTGCCAGCTAATGTATGGTATCTTCTTCTGAACTTATCTGTGAACTTCCCTATGTATTAACAAGGGTAACATATATTAATCAATATTGTATATAATTAATATATATATATAAATCTAAGGAATTCTCTTTTAATCTATCAAACCTCTGAAATTGCCTTCTTTTTGGTAATGCCCTTTCCTTATAAAGAATGTTCTAATAAGCATGTAGTTTAATTATTTAAATACAGTTGATGCTGTAAAAACTCTTAAGAATAAGCATTTTGACTAGGTTCCTGTCTACCTAAAGGTGATATGTATATTTTCAAGTAAACCATATTGTTAGCTTAATCTGGTATAATACACAGATACATTTGATGCCTTTCTAGTTAGTTATGATCTTTTAGTTAGAAGTGATAATCACTTTTAGCTATGATTGGTAATCTTCATATGGCTAACTCTCACAAGTAGACTCACTCTGGTTAGTCATATATGATTGTCTTTTTCACATCTGCTATATCTGGGATCAATTCAATTCAGTTTTTTATTCATCCTTTTTAGTCAACCTATTGATATAGGATATGTCATTTAGAAACATGGCTCACAAGTTACATTAATGTTAATGCACAATACAAACACAATTCATAGAATATATTACCAAAATATCACATTAACATTCCAATTATTACTCTCTGCTAATTAATACAATATATATTCATCTACATAGTAAAATGTATGTTGTAATAGGTAGGATCTCAGCCTTCTTTTAATTTCCTCATTCTTACATTTCTCTAATTTTACTTGGTAATTTATTGTATAGTTGTATCCCTATATTCATTACACCTTTCTTGACAACATTTATACTACAAAACTGGACATGAAGGCCAAACTTCTGTGGTGTGATATGATTATGAATTTCTTCCAGCTACCTAAATGATACTAATAGACCACACTTGGTAAACCATATCAGGTGTGTTCCTTCTGGCAGGCTGAAGCATACTTTCTCAGTCTCATGAATTGTATCTGAACTGATTCATCTAAATGACATTATCTCACATATTTTTCCTGGACTGCTTCAGGCTGGACATAAGATTGAAATTTTACCTGCTTCATGAAACATTGTCTATTAAAAAAGCATTTCTATTAAAAAAATATATATGTTCATATGATGCTTCTGAAGAGTATTGACCTTCAGGAATTTTAATAACACATTAGAGGAGCCATTGGCCTAGTAACAAAATTATGGTATTAATTATGGTGTCCCACATATAATATCTGCAAACCATGATTTGTGCATCACTGTTATCATAAAATTTTACATAAATGAAATATTTGGATACTGGAATAGGTTACATCACCTCCTACTGGTCCAAAACCCCACGAATTTAGCATATTCGGTGTGTGAATCATACAATACCAATTAAATTCTGTGCTATTGGATTTACACTCAACCCATTTCCATATTGATACGTACTATGTCCTTTACATACACATATTTGCAAGAATTTGCGTTACTGTTCTACATGATTTTGCGGGGAGAAGGGGGGGGGGAGTTAGAGAATAGAGATGAGCGCAATAGAATGTAACTCATCGAATAATTCCGTTGCTGTAAACTGAGGATATTTTATAATTAAAAATAACAGATTTATTGGAACTCGAAATCTATTCGCATTCATAATTATGAAGGCAGTGTTGTTTTTGTCACAATGAAGTCTTCTCGATCATTCATCTGCGTCATGTGGTCGAAAAAATCCTGACTCTGCTTATAGCCCAACAAGATTCAATAGAATTTAAGTCGCCGCAAAAGCTATATATCATTCAAATAAATAGTCTGACCAACTTTTGGATAAAGATATATGAATGTCATATGTATTTGTTGTAACTTGTATTCCGAAGTACTTAGATTACAGGTTAGGAAACTTCCTCGGTAGCTCGGCAAACGTAGCTGTAACGTAACCTCAAATCTTACATGAAACTTAATAGTTTGGCGTAGTTAGGTTGCCTATGTTTCCATGACAACGGGCACCGTTGTAGTAAACACAGAAACGCGTATCACGTATGGTATTGCATTCTTTAAGAGTATATGTTGAATGGCATTGCACATCGAATTTTATTTGCATAAGCTGTTTAAGATTTGTTTTAAATATTACTTGAATTCGAAATTTATATCAAAATGCAGCTAAAACATTTGAAAACAATAATGCAAGCAGAGGTGAGCATGTTCGACTTAACATTTAGCATTGACATTATCATCCAGATTAGAATAAGTTGGATTTGGGTTAACTAATTATTTTGGACGATCCATCTGACCAAATCTGGTATTAATCAGCTCAATATGTGAGCCCACGTTATATATTGTTCATTGCCAGAGAGTTACTGGAATAAATAGGTTAGCAAGTTTATATTTATTTATACATTAATTATGAAAGATTGGATTTGTAGGTTTAAAGTCTACTTGTGCAGGCTTTGGGTTGTGCTACAGTTATGTTCTTTGCTTATGTAGGATGGAATGGCAAAAATTGCAGCTATAGCATGGGCTCCAAATAATGTCAAATTGGCAATCTGTACATCAGATCGTGTAATTCATCTTTTTGATGAAATGGGTGAGAAGAGGGACAAGTTTTCAACCAAACCTGTAAAACCAAAGGTACTTATGACATTAAAAAAAGTTTAAAAAAGAATGAATGATATATTTGCTCATTTAAATGATATAAAATAATCTTACAGGTTTTTGTGTTGTGTAATTTCTGTTCATCTCATTTTTGTTTCAGTATGGGAAAAAGAGCTATGTCATAAAAGGTTTGGCATTTTCACCAGATTCCACAAAGATAGCAGTTGGGCAATCAGACAATATAATATATGTCTATAAAATAGGAGAAGAGTGGTAAGCTCTCTCTTAAAGAAGGGATTTCATGTCTTAATGTTGGCATACAGGTGACTCTTGTTATACATGCTTTTGCTGGCAATAATTAGTTCTGATAAGAGGAAATAAGCACTGATCCTTTCGGTTGTCTGATTGACTTACTTGTAAATGTAAAAAAAAATGTTGAATTTAATTTTCAGTAAGTCTGGTGTAGTGCACTACTATGATCTGTTTGTTTCAATATAATCATGCAGATGAAATTAAATGTGTACTATCCTTCCATCCATTATTTAATTTTGTTACTAATAACAATCATTATTTGTAGGGGTGAGAAAAAAGTGATATGCAATAAATTTCCTCAGCAGTCAGCTGTGACTTGTTTAATTTGGCTCAGCGAAGGTCGTATAATCTTTGGACAAGCTGATGGAAAAGTGCGTTCAGCCAATCATAAAAACAACAAATCACAGACTTTATATGCTACAGATTCATATGTTGTATCTCTTGCATCCAAGTAAGTATTTCTTAGAACAAAGTTGGTGTACAATTTATTAGGCATATTCATTATTATTATTCTTCCTCCACCTAAAATGCTCTTGCTTTACTTACATGGTCCAAAGTTAAAGTTGTCTGTAGTGATTAATTAAACATCACACCATGAGGGAATATGGCAGAGTGGTGGTGTAGCTCCACACATTTTTAAGCTCAGTACTAGATGGAGGTGAGCAGTTAGGTTCTTGCCCTTGGTGCTGTGTGCTAATGGAAGAACTCTAGTTTGACTGTAAGCCGAAGGGTTGGTTTGGAATTTGTAGTCGGGAGAAAAATCCTGACCTGCCAGGAATCAATCCCCAGTTGTCCAGCCTATAGACTAGTCACTATACTGATTAAGTTATATTGGACTGATACAAACCAAAATTAAATTAGGTTTTCAACTTTTAGTGGTGATCCATTGTCCATAATTGTATCCATACTCCTTTCAGTATATGTGAACATGAATCATCTGAATACTACATTCTGTCATGCAGTGTTTCTTAACCAGGAGGATGCAAGTTATGCCTGGGTTTACAAGTTGAGTAGATTCTACTCTTTTATTTTATTGATGCTGTATTGCTGCTAGTTTTAAGCTTTTCTCATCACATTTGTTACTTCCACACTGGAATAAAAACATGATGAAAAAACTATACCTTCTATCTATATTTTACTTTTATTCTTTTCTCTTTAGTCAAAATGTATGAGATGTTTTGGGGAGGGGGGCCACAGTACCAGAGAGGTTGAGGGTTCACATCATGCACTTTATGTGACAGTAAGACTGGTTGATAATAAAGTATAATTTTATGTCTGCTTGAAGAGTTACCTGAAATACATGCAGTACTTCGGAAAGTTTAACATTTTGTATAATTTCCGTGCTTTTATTTTTAGTCCTCGAGGTACAGGCTTCTTGTCAGGGCATGCAGATGGCACCATTGTACGATACTATGTAATCGAAGATTCAACTATGGAACAACAGGTAGTACTAATTTTTATTTTTTTAAATTACACTGTTTAGGCTAAAGTTACATGCATGACAGCATATTCTACCAGTGTAAACCACTTTCCTCTGTTGTGCTGCCTGTTTCAAAATGTGATTATTAATTCATAATAAATGTTAGAGCACCTTAATCAAATTTGACAAAATGTTACCTAATAATGGGACTAAATTTCTGAAATTATTGCTGAACATATCTTTACCATGTATATGAAGTAAGGGTATAGAGGTATAGAAGATTCATTTTAGTTAACCACATATGGATAAATACAAGTAGATTACAGATAACTGGAATTATGATGCCAGCTATATGCTTACTTTACTTCAGGTTTGGGACTTGAAAATTTCAAACCCTTAATTTTTTATTGCACAGATTGTACAATGCATTGTGTATACCTGCACAGTAGATAGGTATCAGATGAAAATGAATTTCACTGTAATAATGCCACTCCAAGGATGCATTTGCCTGTTCTTCCTGTTTAAAATGTTCTGCACTATCTAATCTAACACACCTATCTCATCTTTTACCAACCAGTTTTAATTGACAGACCAATTCTTAATTCCATGGAGCAGAATCATACTTGTCTTTTATGGAACATGTTCATAAAAGCCTATGTCTATCTGCCCTTATTCAAATGAATTTAGTCCACAGCTTCCTTCATGCACATACCACTTTCTTAAGGGTATCCTCCCATCTGTGCCTAGGTCTTACAAGTGGTTTCTTCCCTTCAGATTTTCTGACTAATGATTTGTATACATCTTTCATCTTTCCCATACATGTTACATTTCCCACTCCTGTCATCCTCCTTGACTTGATCATCATACTGATACTTGGTGAAGAGAACAGTCTGAAACTGACTGTTTTTTAGATGTTCTTATAGTCACACAGGTTATGTACCATTTAATGGGGTGGCTGTAAGATCAGTAATAGGGAGCAGGTAAGAAACTGGAAGGAAGTGGTCACAGTCTGTTTGAAGGTTTGCATGGACAGACACAGGAAAATCATTAAACCCTCATTCAGGATAGCCAGTAACCTGACTAATATTTTGCATAGGTTTGTCCCAAATACAAGTCTAGTTTCAGCAGCATCAACTTGTTGAAGTTGATGTTACTTTCTCCAGACACATGATGAGATCTTACCTTGAACTAGGCCTTAACCACTTCATTGTACATCCTTCCTAGCCCATCATTCTTAATCACTTGTCATTTCTCTAGTGATGCGCTTTCTGTTTTGTAGGGACGAGTTGTTGTACATTCAGCCGCACCATATGCATTGGCATGGCCCATGGGACATGTGCTGGCTGCAGGATGTGATAGACGTGTCATATTATACAGCAGAGATGGACTTGTGGCTAGGCAGTTTGACTATAGCCGAGATGACACAGAGAAAGAGTTTACAGTAGCTTGCTGTAGCCCAAGTGGACAAGCAGTGGCAGTAGGCAGCTTTGACAGGTAAGTGTAGCTGGACTCCTTTGTCATCAGGATTGGGGTTAAGATCCAGTGAACATTTCTGTGCTGGGTTTCTCCAGCCCTCCCCTTCCATAAAATCAAATGTTATTGAATGTTTCAAGTACCCAGCCCTTCCTGTGATTTGTAGTCAACTGGTAAAATTAGAAAGAAAAGACGTGGATAGGTGTACTTCATTATGAAACACACACATTTATCAAATGCGTTTCTTGCAGATTTGCTTTTCTTTATGGTCTTGGTTTATTTTAGATAAATCTCAGTTTTTTAAATTTGTTTCATATCTGTCTTGTGCTAAACTGTTGTTGTTGAAGTTACTGTTAAAGGCTGGTGATGAAAGAATAGTATACGAGGTGCGATCGGAAAGTTTCAAGACTGTGTCAATAGAGGGCGAACCGGATGTAGTACGAGCTTCTGCCGCTAGGGGGTGCGGCCTACATTCATAGTGAATCAGTGTGCCAGCCGGCATCATCGAATTAGCATTTGTTTCTTAGTTACGGGCGTTTTGGTAGTGCATTACACCGACCCTCCTGCGAGTTCGGAATGGCGGATTTTCATGAACAAA